CGGAGTACTTAGTCCTTGTTTCTTTTTTTGGAGCTCGCGATATCCATTCTCGACTGCAAACGGAAGCGTACGCTTAGTTGAGCAAGAGGGATGGCCGTGAAAAGCCCCGGGTAAAGCTCTCCGGAGGTTGCGATTATCGGGATGATTGATTGCGAATCGACAACGCCAGGGAAACACTGGATGTGGAGCTAGAAACCCGGGGATAATCGATATTAACCCACCCACCCCCAGTAAATCTTATACAGCCTCGGTTAAACATCATCGCTGTCGCTCAATCCCATCTTCCAGGACGAAATTACGCCCTTTTGTTAACAAAAAAGAATAATAACTCAACAATTACCCCCAATCCAGGCCAAAACTCTCGTCAAAGGATTTTTTTTTTTATAAAAAAAGAGAGTAAACAATATTAATTATACAATTTCGAATAGATAATTAAAGGAAAGATTTTTGAACTGAGAAAAAAATGGAGTAAATCGAAAAAAATGGGGGATTAAAAGGGAAATTCAAGATGATTTTATTTTACGTTCACAAATAATTGTTTATGCTCTTGACCTTTTTTAAATAATAATTTAAAAGTTTTGCGGTCGAATCTAGAATTTTAGGTGATTTTACAAGGAGAATTTGATAAGAAAGATATAATAAATATACATGACATGTATTGAATATTTATTATATACTTTATTTATTTATTACTATTTGTTTATTATTTATTGATATTTTGAATATTCATACTGCGTACAAGGAATCAAAACGGATTACGGAATTGAAATCATAAAGAAAAAATTATAAATAATATTGTTATTATTGAAATTATAAATTATCAAGTGATGAAAAAAATGATTAATGCAATTTATTCAGATATTCAAAGTTTTTCGACGTGAAAAATGATTTTTATTTTCCCTTGGAGGCGATGGACATGATAAAAATGGATTCGCGGAGAAAAATTGCCCGGAAAAACTCAAGTCCCTCTGCAGTAGGAAAAGGGGACAAAGTATCAGCTAGGGAAAAATTCCATTAATTATTTAACAACACGAGGTTTTTTCGAATTGATATAAAAATTTTAAACAATTCCCTAGACATTCCACTAGAAATCTCTGCAGTAAGAGAAATAATAAAAAATTCAAATGGAATCTTTAAAATTGAAAACAAATTGCCATCAGGTATATTCCCATTAAATAATTCATTTGTTATTATTCATTGATATCTTCTCCATCGATATCCGAATTTTATTCGTATCAAACAGAAATTTTCCATAATTTAGGAAAAATCCAATAAATAATTAATTTAGAACGAAATAATTCAAACAAAAATCCCCAATTTACAACCCCAAATTACGATTTTCTAATTGAATATTCATCTTGTTGATTGCAATTCAAATGTATCCCCTTTTCGACATTTGAGAAACTGCGCAGAGGATTCGGTAGTAATGCCCCAGTAATTAATAGCCGTTGGTAATTTTGACATTGATTTTTCCTTCCACCCCCTCGATTCGTCGAATAATCAATCAATATTGCAATAATTACATCATCTACGTTTATAATTACAAAAACTTATTTATTAAAACATAAATTACAATAATTTATGTTAAAAAAATTAACAGAAAAATCAAAAATTGCAGAAATCTTTCGTTTTTCAATAAAAAAAATCGCTCTTTGGTAATTATGATAAAATGTTAGTAAACAATAATAACAATGATAATGTACAAAAGAATTATCAATGTTAATGCCCGTTTTTATATAATTTATGTTAAAAAAATTAACAGAAAAATCAAAAATTGCAGAAATCTTTGGTTTTTCAATAAAAAAAATTGCTCTTTGGTAATTATGATAAAATGTTAGTAAACAATAGTAACAATGATAATGTACAAAAGAATTATCAATGTTGATGCCCGTTTTTATGTAATTTATGTTAAAAAAATTAACAGAAAAATCAAAAATTGCGGAAATCTTTCGTTTTTCAATAAAAAAAAATGCTTTTTGGTAATTATGATAAAATGTTAGTAAACAATAATAACAATGATAATAATGTACAAAAGAATTATCAATGTTAATGCCCGTTTTGTAAAAACAGAAGGAAAAAATCAAAGAAAAATCAAAAATTGAAGAAATTTCTTTTGTTTTCATGATAATGTCTTCTTTGATGATAAAAAAATATTTGAGAAAAGGTTTATATTGTAGTGGCACCTTTTGAATTCTATCTCGATGTAATTACTCGCCCGGAGAGACCGATGAAAATAGGAGCTCGTAGAAAAATAGAATAAAAGCTAACAAAATAAAACGAAACGAGGAGAAAAGAAATGAGGCTTTCCGCTGTTTTTCCAACTCTGTCATTATCGCCAGCTGACTCGCTTTTCCTCCCACATCTTCAATGTTTATTCATCCCTTTTACTCCGAAGAAATAAAAAAAAACAACATCTCGCGTAATGGTCCGAGTGTAAGCGGTCTTACTCAGGAAAATTCGGAGTTCATTGTTCTCTATTTTTATTTTCTCGGTTTTCATCGAGTTCACGGGAAATTATTCCCTAGGAGAAAGCCGAGAATTCCCTTTATTTTCGTTTAATTATTTTCCCATTTTCACGCTCATTTCATGGAAACTTTACAGTTAAATCAAATCCAATCATCCAATGAAAATAAATTACAATTTAAATACATTAAAGTAGATTAATTAAATGACAGACTGTTGACACTTAATTTATTGTTAAATTATTTGGAAAATTACTGCATTGAGTGACAGAATAATTAGGAATTATTATTGAAAATCCGGGAATTCCTTGTTTTTTTATAACAAATTTTTTCTAGACAATTAAAAATGGTCGATAAAGAGAAATTATCCATTAAAGTAATCGCGATTCTTTTCAATCTACTGTAGACAACAGTAATAATTAATATTAATTAATTAGGAACAATTATTATTATTGATTAATATTAATATTTTATTTTTATTTGAGGAAAATCGCGGGAAAATAAGCGAAAAAAAATCCGGTGTTTCCGGGAATTCCGGTAGTTTCCGTAAATATGAATTCCTCGAAACAAGAATTCTCATTTCTGTGTTGTTTTCGCGGAATGAATGCAATGTTGCCGCGTTGTTGTCAAAATTGACAGCTACTATTACCCCTTCCACTGTCATTTAGCTCTGGCTCGGTCTTTTTTTTTTTTCATTCGACGATTGGAGTTTGTGGGAATTTTTTTTGGCGTCAACTCTCCGTCGCGATCAGTCGATTTTTAATCAATACTCTGACATCGATTCTTGTTTCTCCTTTCGATAAAGCCTTGACGATCGATAATCCATGTGGTGTATAGGTATGAGGAAAAAAATTTGACTCGCTAATTAAGGGAATTATTCAATAACAATTATCAGAAAAAAACGTGACTATTAGATTTTGAAAAGCAATTAGTGAAATAGTCCAGCATTTTTACGGAATGTTTCGCCCTGTGATTATGTGAAATTTAATTGACAAAACGAATTGTTTAAAAAAAAAAGACGGAAATTTACGTTGTAGATATTTCTCGTTGTTACGCCCTTCTGTTGCTGAGTGATATGTAAATAAACGCGCGGGAATCGAGTGTCGAGTCCAATTGAATATTAAATTATTCTCGTGATAACGCGAAATGTTAAATAATTCAGTAATTAGTAAAACTGTTTATTCGCCTCTTTTATTTCCCATTCTCTGTGAAATGTCGACTTATCATTTTTGCATTAAATTAAGTTTTTGTTACATAAGTTATTATTCATCCGCGAAATTTAAAAAAGTGTTAAAAATATCTGAATGACCAGAAATATTTTTGACTTCTTATTAAATAAATATTCTGCTGTTCACTTTTACGTTGAATTACTATTTCTTTATAATAATTTAAAATAATCAATTTTTAATGAGAAGTAGAAAAATTCCAGAGAATTACATCCCAAAAAATTTTACAAATTGTTAAAAAAATCGACTCAAATATTCTGTTTGTTATTTTTTTTATAGTGCACTTTCAATTAAACATTTCTTAATTGGTAATTTTGGGTTAAATTAATTTTTTTTGGAGAGCTACGAAAATTTCGAGGAATTGTTTTCGAGTACCCGAAAATTTGACTAATAATTTTAAAAGATGAGCTGAAATGAGCTCCTCCCTCTGCATTCACTTGTCATCATTGGATTGCAATCGTCTCTGGGGATAGCCCCGATGCTCCTTTCTTCGATTCAGTTCGTGTCCCCGGATATTCCCGTGTGTTCCCTTTCTGTGTTTTTTTATCGTTCCCCATAACGACGATTTCAATAAGAGACTGACGTTCAACGACAGCGCGTTTTTTCCCTGAATACATTGTGATCTGGAGTATCAGCTGTGGGGAATTCTGAATCTTGGGATGGCAACTTCCGTGAGAAGAGTGAAATTTCCGATTAGGAAACGTTTCGGTTGGTTATCATTGAGTCTCTCCGCTTTTTCGATATTTCCAAATTTGAGAAAAATCCGTAAAAAAGTGATAACAGGAAATGAATTCACCGAGCCCTTCGATTTTCTGATAATATCTCCAGAACCAAGGGAGACAGCGAAGTTCTCGTGATAACATTTTTTGTAGCTCTCAATAAGCTCTACAAAAAAGGTCTGCACCGAAATTTAACTATCTCTCTCTGTTTCGGAGATTTTCCCGAAAAACTCGCCGGAAAAAAAAATGACTCACAAATTCTACACCGACATTTTTTTAAATATTTACCGCACAAAGAAAGGTCATAGCGAAATTTTTGTTATTACCTTTTTTGTAGTTCTCAAGTAGCTCTACAAAAAAGATTTTATCAAAAATTTCATTATCTCGCTCAGTTTGGAAGATATTCCCAAAAATTCACCGAAATAAATCTGTTCATCAGACATTTCTACAATAATTACAACAAAAATTAGCAGATTGATTAATTAAATCATTAAAAAAATAAATACTATTGATTCATTAAATAGTTGAAAAAATAAATACCTTCTGGAATCAATAGGACAACTGGTGAATTAATGAATAACTTTCTTTTCCAGGCAAATCACCGTTCTTCCCAGGACTGGACGAGCAAGGGGGAACTCTTCTGGAGGATCCAAACGCTCCAGGACAACTGGATGGTGTGGGCGTCGGTGTAGGGGTTGGTGTTGGGGTCAGTGGGGGCATGAATGCACCCCAAAATGCCCCTTTATCATCCCCTAGTCGTAGCAGTCCCCACAGTCAGGGCAGCGAAACCGGTGAAAGATTCTCTCGGAAGGTCTTCGTAGGAGGTCTACCACCAGACATCGATGAAGGTATTAATAATTCTTAAGATGTCTTCTAAAATATATCCCATGATAACAAAAATATATATCCATAAATATATATCAATTATATCCGAATATAATTATGTCGCATTAATTTCTGTAAATAATGCATTATTCAGGATATATTTTCGATATATCTGGGCGGATATATCTGGGCTGATCACCCATTGCATTGAAGATATATTCTGATTATAATTTAGATACATTTGAGATGAAATTTCAACTTGAATTTTTCATTTAATTATTATTGCTGATTAATTTAATGACAATACGAATATTGCCTTCAAACCGTTACACTGTATTTATTTTTATTGGAGTGCACTGTTCTACATAATCAGTGAGACGAAACGAAATCAAAAGGCGAGACAAATCTACTATTTTTTGAAAACTTTTTTACCTTTTTTCACAGACGAAATCACAGCTAGTTTCCGGCGATTTGGGCAGCTGGTCGTTGACTGGCCACACAAGGCCGAAAGCAAATCGTACTTTCCACCGAAGGGATACGCTTTTTTACTATTCCAGGTCAATATTATTTTTTACTGTTTTAATTCTACTGATTATTTGCATTAAACCGTAAAATAATTGAAATTGAAATAATTACTATTTTATGGTTTTCTTCAATATCGATTTATCCGAAAAGCATCAGTTTACGGAGAAAATGTCATAAAATATTTTCTATCCGAAATTTAATCAGCTACAAAAAATGTCTATAGTGTTTTCACCTGAGATCGATAGTTTTCGAGATCGAGAATTACGAAACGGTCAAATCCGATTTTTACAGATGAAGATTTTTTTTAATCAGAAATTTTCCTGTTTCGTCGTTTGTCTATCGTACAATAAATTTCCACATGAAAACCACAGATTTCCTTTGATTAAATTTATCACTTCAACTCTTCTACAATAAATCGAATTTTAATTAGAAAATGAATGGTATCCTGTCATTTGTTAAAAAAGAATGGAGTGCAGTAAAAAGGACGGTCTTCAATCATCAATAACTTGCGATCTGTCGATTAAAAAGTATCGATTTTTCTCTCGTCTTGAAGGTCTGTTTTTAATCTTCGTAATGAGAGAAAAATCAATAGTTTTCACTTTGCGGTTTCCGAGCTATTGACCATCGAATACGTCCCACTTTTCTCAATTCCGCTCAAAGAAAACATGTTTTTGCGACTTATTGTTGCAGTTTTGTTGACATGATCGCAATTAATATTGCGAATATATTTCAGGACGAGAGTTCAGTGCAACAGTTGATCGATGCATGCATCCAGGACGATGACAAGCTCTACCTGTGTGTGAGTTCTCCAACAATTAAAGACAAACCCGTGCAGATACGCCCTTGGCGTTTGAGCGATGCTGATTTCGTTCTTGATGCATCGATGACACTTGATCCACGAAAAACAGTGTTTGTTGGGGGTGTACCACGGCCATTGAAAGCTGTCGAGCTTGCCATGATAATGGATCGGCTTTACGGGGGTGTTTGTTACGCTGGAATTGATACCGATCCAGAGCTCAAGTATCCCAAAGGGGCTGGACGTGTTGCTTTTAGCAATCAACAGAGTTACATCAGTGCCATATCGGCGAGATTTGTACAGTTGCAGCATGGTGATATTGACAAGAGGGTGAGCATCCCTTCAGGGTCCTTTTTTTACCCAAAGCCTCCCCAAGAGCCTGAAATTAGAACAGTAAAACGTCATTCCAACCAGTCATTAAGATTTCCACCGATAACTATGAATCTATGAGAGATGGCGGAATTTTTGATAAGTCCTTTTTTGTAGAGCTAGGTTTTGTCTGTAAAAGAGATCTTTTCGGAAATTTAGCTATATCTGATTGATACTGAGATAAAACGCTTTTGGAAAAAGTTAGCTGTTGGCTATCGACTTGTTACTCTCTATCTGCTTACTTCAAGTTTTTGTGGAATATCTCAGAATGTGGGGGAGGTAGAAAAAATTTAGATAAGACCTTTTTTGTAGCTCTTATTTCGCTCTATAAAAAAGGTCATAAGAAAAATTTCGATATCTGTCTCAGATTCAGAGGTATTCCGGAAAATTCAAGTGGATAGTTTTGACAGTGTGCTAGAGAAGTTCTAAATTTATGCTCCCACCGAAAAATGTAGAGATTAATAATAATTAATGGATTTCTAAATTTTCATTCAGTAGTTCGGCAAAAAGGAATTGAAAATCGAATGGCAAATCTGAAAATGTGGATTAAAATTTGAATTTGAATGCCTTCAAGAGGAAATTTTTGTCAAATCATTTTTACTAAGCAGTCGATCTCACCTGAACTTTCGATTTAATTTTTTTGAAGGTCGAGGTGAAACCCTACGTTCTCGATGATCAAATGTGTGATGAATGTCAAGGACAACGTTGTGGTGGCAAATTCGCGCCTTTCTTCTGTGCAAATGTAACCTGCCTTCAGGTAAGTTCCCAGGAAAATTACCCCACAAATTAAATAACTTTTGAATACAACTATTAAAATATAAAATCCCCAATCAATAACTCCCCAATTATCCAACATTCTCCTCCTACTCTTCCCCAGCCATTGACACGAGTTCCTCGTTTTGGATTATAATCCAATGAACAATAAATAAATATAAGAATAAATGATTAATTTCAGTACTACTGTGAACACTGCTGGGCAACAATTCACTCGCGGCCGGGTCGAGAGTTCCACAAGCCCCTGGTTAAAGAAGGCGCAGATCGACCAAGAGCTGTACCATTTCGCTGGTGTTAACCCCAACTGCATCGCACCTAAAGATCGTCGCGGCCCTTAGCTAATTAACTGTCAACCCCAGCCTCTTACCCAGAGCCCCACCCCCCAACCTATCAACTATCTCTACCATCTACTTGTCACTATTTACTGAATCTTATCGCTAATCTAATTCTGCTATCGACACCCTAATTAATCTAAATTACCAATAACCGACGAAAGCCCCTGGGAAAGTAATCCCGATTATTCGAGGGCTCAAAGGATAAAACAAAATGTTAAATATGAAGATTAACGTAAGGCAAATGATAAATCTCGAGGGGAATCACTCCAGTTGTCTCCAGGAGGCGATGACAGGGGGAAAAATTAGGATTCCACAATCGAGAGGATTTTTTTTTTTTAATGAGACAGTCAAGACTTTCCTCACCCTCTTCCACTGGTTCAGAGAGGCTGGAATGCACTGACTATTCCTGCTGATGCATCCTCGGGCTCATCGAGACGCTAAACAAACAATTATTACTGTCTTTCTTTTTTTTTTTCATTATTATTTTTCAATTAAACTGCGCAACGAGTGCGAAATAATCGACTAATGAAATCACGCTTCGCCTCAATGGGAAATTATTCTCAGCATCGCAGTCTCTAGTTGTTAAGGGATTTTTAAAATAAGACGATTCGAATAGGGAAGGAATTACGATGCGAGATTTTTACCAGATTTATCAAATATCTGGGCCGTATTTGGGGATCAGAAGACGAATGGGTGGAAAAAATGATGTTGAAGAGTTTAATTTTTTTTTTTTATTATTTTTGTTTCTTTATTTTATTTGTTTTTATTTCTTTTTTTTTTCAATTATTTAATATATTTTTGAGCTAAGAAGAAGCTCGAACACTCGACGGCTCACAGGAGGGTAGTCCACGAATCTCTCGTGTTTAATTAATCGTGATTGATTCATTCTTTTTTTAACGTCAAATCTGAATGCAGACGAGAATTCGTTCTAATCCCTCGTCGATTTTGAGTTTCTTCCCAGTATTCAATTGACTTTTATTTTTTATTCTTTGATTTATTGAATGAAATGTGTAGATTTTTCATGAACCGGGTGATTCATTAGAAAAAAAAATAACGCGATTCTTGATATAAAGACTAGTCTGTTCCAATGTTTAATATTCATTTATCAATTGTGGCTTGGAATTTCAGCCGAGAAAAAAAAAAAATACTGAACAATGTCTTTATAAAAATAGATTTGCATACTTCCCTAAGACCACCGCCCCCCTACGCCCCGCCCCTATCCCCCTATGCCCCCCACCAATTTGTAAATACCTAGTTGAACTATTTACCGAAAAACAATTGCCCTCCCCTCTCATCACCCTTTTAATGTACCTCACTAACGCGCAGTAGCAGCGGTCAAAAATAAGCACACGTAAACGAAAAAAAAAAATGGGAAAAAAAAAATTAAGCAATAAAATTACCAAAAAAAAAATAATAATAATAATACCCTCACGTTTTCTTCTCGGTGTATATAATCAAACAAATGCAATCGCGTAGTTCAAATTGACAATGAGATAAAAACGTTTCATTAACATTATCACACAACACAGACATTTGACATTAAATAAAACATCGATGTTTGCTATTAATTGGCGATACGACACGCACACGCGCAGATACATAAAATTAGACGATAACAGTGGGGAGAATCGGTGAATTAATTGATAATATTATTGCCGTTGATGAGTTGTTTAATTGAATTGAAATTAAAATACACTGAGGACACGTAGTAAATTGCGCAATTTCATAATCACAAGCAATTATACACAATTTAACGAAAAAATAAAAAAAAGTGGATTAGAGTGAAGATGAAAAGCAAAAAAAAATGGTAAAAAAAAACAAAGTAATCTCCACATATATATACACATATATATATTTATTTTTTTGGTCTCCTTTTTGTATATAATGCTCGCCGCCGTAGGAATGGCTGGCATAATTACATAGGAACGAAAAATGGGGATTATTATATCGCTGATATTCAAGTCACGTGGATCATTTGAATCGCGATATTTTGAGAGATAAATAAACAATTAATGTAAAACCATTGAACTCTCCTCCCGCCTGGTTGAGCCTGAATTCGGTTCCGTGGAAATCAAGAATGTTACATAGGCAAATTTTTCGGTACTCTAGATAAATAATAAACTCAATTAAACGGAAAATATATATTAAATAGGGGAATAAATGGGGGATTTGTTCGCGACGTTCTCGGGGATTCGGTGATTATTTATATTTAATTTGTCATTATGCATGGAGAATTTTAATTCAATTGTTGCAAGATTCATGAGTACAGGGTACAGCAGGACAGGTGCGCCGAGATTTTTAAATAAATATTTTGCACTCAGAGCAATATTATCTCGATATTGTTTAACAGAATTTGCAATTCTAGATTCAATTATTTATTAGAAATTAATAATTACCACGAATTCTAGTTAATGTGGTATTAAAATTGTATTTAATCTATAAATTTCAATTGTTTATTTAAGTTCATCTTTAATAATCCGTAACTCAAAAACCGTAGAGTGAAATCGAATGATTATTTTTTTGATTTGAAGTGCAAAACCAGAGCTTGAGAATGAAATAAAAATCGTTAGATCTCACTCGACCGATCGCGAGGTATTGATGATTGAAGACATTTCATTTCGCTTCTCATCCTATTTACATATTGTAGAGTCACGAGAGTTAATGCCAGAAAAACGATAATTATTTACTGCCTCGTCCTGTTTGCGATCCGACTTAAATCTCAGAGGCACGATTTTAATTTTCAATAAAAAAATAAGAATAGTCTCCCCTCTGAACGTCGGGACTTGAACTCTCGATAAAAACATTTGGGACAAGAGTCGTAAGACCTAGTTAGTGCAATTTCAAAGGCAAATGTGAATTTTTTAGATAAAAAAAAAAGAAATATTGAATGCGGGTATCAATAACCTACCCCAAAATCAATAGGACCTTTGGAGAAAAAACCGTTCGCGGATGAAAAATTTATAAATATATATATTGTATATGTAATATAAATATAAATCAATTCATACAATTTTTAGATATAAAAATAATAGTTTGCGCATAACGAGAACATTTTTGTCCATAAAGAAGTAAAATTTTTAAATGAAATATATCTCAAAACGGATATTTGAAATACCGAGAATGTATTTCGCACGTTTCACACATTTACATTTAAAAAAAAACAATACAATTTTGATTGCATGACTGCATGCCAATCATATACGAAAGAGGTAAATGAATAAAAATAGATCCGTACACAGCGCCTGTGCGTTTTTAGAATTTAAATAAACAAAACAGAATAAAAGTAATAATTGTAATAGCAAAGATCGTAATTTTTCGGCCATTGGGTATGTGTAGCTTACTGTCTATCCTGCTCTGTGTCATCAATGATGTTTTTACGTGTCGTAATAATGCTCAGTCGAAGAATTAAATGAAAAATAAAATCCAATCAATTGTCTTGAGTGCCAGTTGCGGTGAATTGAGTGTTTCAATCGGTGGATTATTCCTCGTCGGATCTATAATCTGTTGGGTAGAATTATATTTTTATAGTTGTGCATTTAATGTTTTATCGGGGAATGATAATGTGTCGTTATGGTACTGCACACATTTTCTGTGCGCATCGGCATTCGAGGGAATTACAACTCGAGGGACAATGGACACTTGATGATAATTGCTGCTATTGCTGGGGAATCGACGACTCTGGGGGATGAAATTGTCATTAATATTTTCATGAACTGTTTTGTTGATGATTTTTATGGTGATTATGAGCTCGTGAGGATCGTTAAGCTCCTGGTGGTCAGGGGGTCAATGAGCGGATCGTCAGATTTTTTGGTTTTTCTCGTTTTTTATTTATTTCTGGCAAAAGTTTAACGGAAAATTCGGGAAATCACTTTTTGCGCAATGAATTTTTGAGGTGCAATTAGTTTTTTTATTATTGAAAAGAAATTTTTTGGGGATTTTTTTTTTAATACAGTGATATTTCAGTTTTTTACACAGAAAAAAATATTCAATGGAAATTACGTGTTTTTTTTTTGTAATTCTGGAGCGAAAATTTCTCGGAAATTTTAGGGAAGTGTCACGTAATTTTTATTTAATGTCACGGAATTTTTATGCGGTGTTCCGTAATTTTTATAATTATCAATAAAAAATTACGATACCGTCACTTTTTTGTATTTTTTGTATCGACTCCGTAATCGGTAATCGAACCGAAAGTTCCGTAATTTTTACTAAATATTTCTCTCCGTGTAACAGTTGAGATAATGGGAATTAGTGAGAGTCCAAAAAATGGAAATTTTGGGAAATTGTTCGTTGGAATTCGCGGTTTTATTGAAATGTAATTTGGGGTTTGATATTTTAAATTAAAAATCAATTCTGTTCAATTTTTAATTTAATAAACTATAGAACAGATGGACTGGAATTAAATTCAAATGAACAACTTAAATTTGAAAGAATTAAAAACAATGCAATATTTTTCATCTAAATAATTTATATTCCCTGGATAAAAAAAAAATAAAAATTCAGATAATGTGTTTTAAATTCTGGATAATTCGAAATTCAACTTTGATGTACGAAAATCGATTTAAAATCATAAAAAAAGAAATAGAAAAATAGAAAAATAGAAATAATGCAACATAAACAAATAAAAATTTAAACAAGAAATATAAAGGAGAAATTAATGAAAAAATTAAATAAAAAATTACGAAATTTTCCAGAGACTCTGAGTTCGACGGAAAAATCCCAGAATCTCATTACAATAAATTCAATTAATTTCAATTAACCCTCATTACCATCCCCTTGACCGCCGGAAAAATGGTGCCCCAAATTCCCAAATCAGAGGAATTCTCCACCGAAAGGACACACTCCCGCATTTTCAAGCATCAGACACACGGCGAGACTAGATATTTATAACCGAAAGAATAAAAAAAAAATTGGAAAAACCTTTTTCGAGGGTTGACCGATCGAAACTGAGGTTTAACAAAAATAATAATAAAATATGTTAGATGTGATTCATCACCTCCTTTGTAATATGTGTGATAAAGCATAATATATATATATTGATATATGTATATACAACATATACATATGTATGTATATATATAGTACTAATATATAATTGATAATAATAATTTAAATATTTATTATATGGCGTACCTCTCGGGTATGCAACTTGAGAAGAAAACAAAAAAAAATATTAGGTACTAATTGCACCGTACGAAAAAAATAATTGAGAAATAAGCAAAACAATGAAACATTCACCCGATGCAGTAATCACTAATTGCAATTTAACAATTTAATTCTTTATCATTTATCCAATGCATATTCCACGCGCGCGTTATTTTCTTCGTCGAGAAGAATTTTATAAAAAAAAAAATTCCCAGTAATAATAACGTGAAAATGATCGATAATAACGATAATGGAGATAACGTTTTATTAAATAAATTCAATTAAATGAAATGCATCTCTCGGACGTTTCGATTCGTTCGATATTTATAAATATTTTAAATAAATTGAGGATAAAAAAATGGAAATAGCTAGACTCGATGATGATGGGGTTGAGTCGTAAACAAGTAGTCATTTAACGATAGATTTGTATTTTTCAGTGTTGAAAAAGTTTTTTATACCGCTGTTATATTCTTGTCTAAATGTCTTAGTTCAGGAGTACGATTGCAAGTGTGTAATTGTGAGTATGACTAAAGAAAGTGAAAAATTATGAAAAAGATAAAATTGAGGTGAACAAAAAAAACCAATGATTGAAACGTGTGATGGATTTTTTTCATCGATATGCGTGTGAAAATAAGTGGAAAAAGGAATTTTTTAAAATTGTGCATGAAGTGATTATGACGTGAATTTGTTTACATTAGGAAATTTAGGGCAGGGGGAGGGATGGGAGGGGGATAATTAATGGAGACGAGACGCGCGAGTCATCCAGTTTAATCGTCGACTTCAATTTTCTAGAAAATTTATTAACACTGACTCGAATTTTAGGGGCAACATACAATTTATACTCATGAATAACGCGTATAGTAAACATACACAAACACATTTTCATATAGAGGGCCACTGCTGCTCACCTCCTCCAACAATTAAAGTAATTTGTTCTTTTTTTTTTCTTCTATTTCAACAGCGAAATATTTTCATTATTTTTCTTCTCTCGCTAAAGTGAATTTTTATTTTTTTATATAAAGTTATTGATTACCGTAAAACATAATTGTAGATTTAAACGAATCCTTAGTGTCTATAGTAAACAAACTCCGGATATTGTTTTTTTGTTAATACATACATATATATATTTTTTTTAAAAAAAAGGAAAAAAGACGGAAAAACTGAGAAAAGCCTACGAAAAAAATATATAACGCTCGTGCAATCGAAGAGGGAGATGGAAAAATCGGAGGGCCGAGAGGTGCTTCTGTGACCTGTGAACTCTCATTTCTGTTTTCATTTTTTTTTTTTTTACTTTTCGATTACCTTCGAGGTGTACAGACACGAGATAATCAGCTTCCTGTTGGATCAAGGCGATAATTCGATTGGAAAACATCGGGATTCAATCTCGTATGAGTAAATCGAATGCACAAGTCGCCCCTTCGTGGAAGTACTACCGATACGAATCTATTTTTTTGTAACACTTAAACATAATTAATCGATTTTTAATTATTATTTTTCGATCGTAGATTACCTAAAGATTTTCTAATTAGGTAAACGTTTACTGTCATTTTTAAATCGTAGAGATCTCCATATACCAAAGATACACACAGAACACCCGGACGTACCGCACTGTCGCTGATTGTGGGAAAAATTCATTTTACTTTTTCCTGAAAATTATTATACAACAGAATGGCTTCGACTTTAATCATTTCTTCTTTTTTTCGAATGATCGATTTTTTGTGGTTCAAACAGTTCGTTCATCTATTAAAAGATTCAATGATTCGCTGGAAAAAATTTTAATCATTCAATTCTCAGCCAAAAATCGACAGAAACTTCTGAAAAATGTCTTTAAAAATTTGTTCACTTCAGGCGAACGACATGCCATGAACTGAGAATAATTTCATCGGGGCAATTATTTATAATTATTGTTTAAAAACGCGAGGTGAGCGCGCCGCCATGTTTAAAATTCTATTCGACGGAGGGAAGTGGTAAGCAAAATGGCGGTGTCCACCTCTGTTGATCACCTCGTATTTTTGAACCCTTAATTAAATTGTTGACTCTCTTTGGATAATTCTCAACCCATACCATTCAGTTTTTATAAAATGAACAAATTATTAAAATCGTATTACATAAATTTCAATCAATTTTCG